CTCCCGGCGTCTTTACCTGAGCCCACTTGTCCAGCTCCGCGGGAGCCCAGTCGGGGAAGAACTGCCGGAGCAGGGAGCGGGACTGCTCCCGGTAGATCTCCTTCTTGCCGCAGTTGCGGCCCCAGAGCGGCGCCCAGTCTTCCCAGTGGATGGCGGCCAGGCCGCGGTAGTCGGGCCAGGGCAGGGCGGAGGTCACGTCGGCGTCCATTTTCAGCAGGTGCATGTCCAGGCTGGTGTGCTGGGGCAGCCCCCCCGCCACGGGCTGGTTCTGGGGGTCATAGTAGGGGTACAGCCCCAGGCCGTCCCGGTAGAAGACGACAAACTGGCCCGCCGAGCCGTTGCTGAGCATGCCAAAGGCGCTGGGGTCGGGGCGCCCCTCGCACAAGGAGTCGGGGATCCCCCACAGCACCAGAAAGGGCTGGCCAGGCACGAGGGGGACGCGGGCAGGCTGCAGGGCACCCCCGGGAGGGGCCAGCAGACCCAGGGCCAGCAGCAGGAGGGCGCTCATGCCCTCTCCTGCGCACGCGGACTCACCGGGAGGGTGCTGCCAGCCTGCGCGTCTCCATCGCTCTGCGGACAAAGGGAGGGCAGTCAGCGGGGCTGGGCGGGTTTCGAAGGCCACACACGCAGGCTACCGTGGATACGCTCCTCCCTAGGAGACACGGGGGCGAGGGAACTCATCGCAGCGCGGTGACGCCCCGGGAGAGGCGAGCGCTGAGCCGGCTCCTTAATCAAGGGCAATTTAAGTTAAGTTAATTGTGAAGAGCTAATTGGTTTGTTCTCCTCCACAGCTGCTGGGGTTCAGTCCCGGCGGGAGACTCCCGCCGTGCTAGGGCTCCCCGGAAGCCGCCGAGCCGAGCCGAGCCGAGCCGAGCCGTCGCTGTGCTCAGGGAGCCGGAGCTACTGGGGCAGGTAATTAACTGCTGCTTTAATGAGATTATGATGTAGAGCTCTCCACACAAGCTCAGTCGCTGCACTACCACACAATCCCCCTTTGTCTGTCCTCTCTAATCCGCCGGGCCAGCGCTGGCGGGACGGGAGACGGGCCGTCCCGCTCCGGACGGCCCCCGCAGCCCCCCCTGCTCCCGGCTCCCTGCCCGCTGTCCACTGCGGAGGAGGCCGCGCTGGCCGAGGTCCCCCGGCTCCAGCTGTTCCCAGATTCTCCAGGGCTCCTCCAGGGGGAGAGCTATCCCCCCCCATTGCTGTAGCCCCCCCAGAGAAATCCCTGGATCCCTACTGCGGTCTGCTGCAGGCTCTGTGCTTGATAAAGCGCTCTTCCTCATCCTGCCCAGCGGTGGACAGGCCGGGAGGGGAGGCTGCTGTGCAGGCGGGCAGGAAAAGGGGGCGCACTCACCTCGGGGCAGCAGGGTCACAGGTCGGCGCCGTGCGGCGAGGAGGTCGGGCCCACAGCCCGTGCAGCGCGGAGACGGAGCGGACTGGACTGGACAGGACAGGACGTGGGCCGGAGCTGGGCGATGAGGCTGCTTCACCTCTCAGGTGCCGGGGGTGTTGGGGGTGGGGGACAGTAATCTGTGCGAATAAGCAGGGTCAGCGGAGAGCACGGCCATCACATGAGCAGCCCGGAATAGGCCGGTTATCCCTCTAATCCCCCCTCAGCCTCGGGCTTTGCACTGCAGCTGCAGCACGCAAGGTGCCCACTG